GTGTAAAGATTTTATACTGTAGAGACCCCAAATGGAGAGTCGCTCTGAGATCGGACAGTTTGTGGAGCAAAGGCTCATGGGAATGTTAGTGTCCAGTTAATAAAAGTGTGTTAATAACTTTAAAGTCAATTTTCAGTATTGTGGTTGTTATAATTGGTAATTGTTCATGTTTAATGCCATTTCCACTGTGATAGAGAATGTGAAATCAGTTAACGATTGTTCAACCATGAGTGTGAGAGAGCAGCTAATGTATATATTTAGATTTTCCTCGCAAAAACTTACGTATTCAATTAGTTAAACTAGGTATTTATCAATTTAATTATTCTAAGTGTTAATTTATTAATAAACTGGACAGGGTTAATTGTGCAGTACATCTCATACAGAGGCCATTCAAAGTGCAATAAGATAGATAGATAGATAGACAATTTATTAATCCTGAGAAACATACAGAAGTTGTGAAAGAGAAAGAAGTTTCAATAAAGATAAAAGTGCACTGAATAATGTAAAGTCAAACGCACATGAACCTGAAACATGCATAACTTACACATGTAGTCTGTCTGTATTTTCTGCCATGCCATCTTCCTGGCTTTTCTGCAGTTTTACCTTCTTTCTTTTTAGTGATACAATCTGTAAATTTTTCACACAGCTCAAACAGCAGCGTTGGTTCAGCTGTTGAAACGAACAGCGCTCTAACTCTCCCCTCTGCGTGACTCATTTGATCGTCTTTTCATTTGGGCTTCTTGTAAACCTCGGGTGCGTTCAAATAGCCAGACTATGCAAGCCTGGCTTGGGTCAGTCCTGATTTAATTCAGGCTGATTTGCTTTCATGGAACAACTTGAGACTTAATTAGGAGATGGAGTTAGTTTCAGTCTGATTTTAACTTGGCTTTCTTCAGCCGTGTTGATGGAATACCCCCAAGGTACAGGTTAACACAACTTTAGTTAACTGTTGAAGTTCTACTATGTTCACCACTGAAGTGCACAGTGTAACTTCAGGGCTGTAGAGTATCTCTACATGTACTTCTGTGGAGTTAATCCTTTTAAAAATAATTTCTTAGGAGCTTTGTTTCTGAACAGTGGTGGAAGGCAGCCCTATGGGGCTTACAACAATCCACACATTGACCCAATAAAAACACCTTACCCAAGTCAAAAAGAAGGGATTTAGTACCACTACTCAAAGATCAACTCAAAACTAATGTACCTGAACACAAGAACACACACTCCCTGACTGTGAGGTACAGCAGTCCCAACTCCAAACACCGCTCTCTCTCCTGAAACCAGCACTAGGCTTTTAAGCATCGAGGCCAGGTGTGCCTCATTGTTCAATTAGTAGTTTCACCTGGGCTGGAGACAACAGGGAGTGGAGAAGGAACAAAACAGCTTCCTGTGGTGAACGTTAGTGTGCATTAGTGACACCAAGAGAAGTGAGAGTGGGTCGAGCTTAAGTCCAGTTCTAAGCATTTACTGTTTCATGCAGGACGGATTCCCAATATGTCTGTGACTTTGGGCGGCACCAAAGACTATGAAAGGTTACTTGTTTGCATTTTGGAGCGGCAGTGACTTAGTCTGTAGTGAACGGGAGGATCCTCAGTTCATGTCCTGGTATGGAAGTTGGTCTGGTAGCTGGAGAGGTGCCAGGTCACTGCCAGGTGCCCTTGAGCAAGGCACTGAACCCCTTAAGCTCGGTCGCCCTTTCATGTGTAACCCTTCACTCATCTCTCCATTAGTGCACGGGTCCTGTTTGTGCATGTGTGTGTGTTTGGGGTCTATGTGTGAGAGAAGCATGTCTCTCTATAACAGTGTAACAATAACAGTGTAAACCAGAATTTTCCCTCTGGGATTAATAAAAAATTCAATAAAAAATGAAAGAAGAGATTGTTGGATTAATTTTGGAGAGGCGATCAGGCAGTGTAAAAAACAAAAAAACAAAACAAAAAAAAAAACAGAAATCTTTGTCCATATCACTTTAAGGCCACAAGAGGTCGCTGATTGACAGCCAAACACACAACTCATCTGTGGATCATAAAGGTAACCTCTATAGTACTGTCAGGAGTAATTTAATGCTTTTAATTTTTGAGTTTCATCCATTACAGTCATAACAAAAGGTGAGGGTGACATTAATCAAGAAGGTTTATTATATTACTTTCCTGAGATGACTTTAGGGAATGAGGGGAGTAATAATCAAACCCAGGGAGAAGAAGGAGGAACTTAGTATAAGCTCATTTTAAAGGATTTATTAACAAACTAAAGAACAATGTACAACACAAAACAAAAAGAGAAGCCATTTTAGTTTTAAGTGAAGTCCAAAAAACAACTACCAGCTGCCTCCTCTCTGCTGCTCTTTATACTCCAGCTCCTGATTGATAAGTTGTCATAGGTGAGTGTGGCTGCACTGAGGCTGACAAGCAGCAGCTGGACGGCACACAGGAGAGAGAGAGAGAGGGAGAGAAAACACAAAAACACAGAACTTTACGGCTACTAGCATAGTGAGGTGATGGGACTGGGTTGTCCAGACATTTTTTATTTGGGGTGGCCCACCTGGGGCACTGACACATGATGTTTGTGGGCACATGCACGCAAATTATTATTTTTAATTTTTTACCATTTCCGCTAAAATTTAAGTCATACAATTTGGCAACATATAAATCTTCTTAGCTTGATTCTTTTGGGACTCAAAAACAAAGATGTGAAAAAGAACCATTTTAAGTACTTAGGAAATTGCATGCAAACTTGTACGCTGACTTATTTGGAAAGATAAATGTATTGGCAAGTTAGTCCATTAGAAGATCCACAGTGTGCACACGTTTGTATTTGGGGATTTTATGGAAAGAGCAAAGTATTCATTAAAAACTGAAAAAACTACTGTTGAAAATAGACAGAATAGTTGATTAGTAGATGAGCCCTGCCTTTGATCAGGCTAATAGCCAAACATAGATTTGGACTTTGGGGTGACCAGTCAGATTTCAAGGGGGGCCCATGCCACCCCTCTGGAGGGCCCATGCCACCCTGCAGGTGTAAATCTACAGGTCTATCTCAGGTCTACTTTCCTCCTACCTTCTGACCTTCATCAGTCAGAAGAGTTCAGGGACTTATAATCTTTGACCCTGCAGGACCTCTTTTTTACCGTCTGTTCCAAAAGTCAGAACTAAACTGGAAAAAAGGCGTTTCAGTTTGCTGCTCCCTACGTTGAACGAATCTTTAAGACTTAACGAGCGTCTCTGATTGGGCGCTTATAAGAGGATGTTAAATGACTTGGAGGTGGACACATCTGGCTGTAGATGTTCTCCCTGAGGTGTTTGTGGCTGATCTCGACAAACATTTGCTGTTTAAATGTATCATTTGTTTCTTTTAATGTCTAATAATGTTATTTGTTTTTTTTGTAGATGTATGTGTGGATGCTCGTTGTTTGTTTGAAACTTTGCCATTCATGGCCAGGACACTCCTGAAGAAGATTTATTTTGGGGCTTTTTGTGCCTTTATCGTAAAGATAGGATGGTGAATAGAGTGATGAATCAGGGAGAAAGAGTGGGGAATGACGGAATCAAACCCAGGCCGTTCGCTTGGATGAGCCTCTGTACATGGGACGTGCACACTAACCACTAGGCTACTGGCGCACCCATGGCCAGGACACTCTTGCAGAAGAGATTTCTAAGCATAACAAGAACTGGTTAAATAAAGTCTAAATGAATACTTGCTGGAACAGAAGATGTATCAGTATTGGAGATATTTAAGCCTTTAGTTTCTTTGTGTTTCATTTCAGGAGCTGTAAAAATAGGCAATGCTCCACTACTCCTTATAAGCCCACTATACATCCACTCTGCAGGAAGAGTGATGACATACGTTCTCTGTGATCTTTGCTCTGTAATCATCCAAGCGGACCAGTTTCAGGTCAAATACCCCCAAGACACTCAGTGATGGCTGCCCAGATTATGAGACGAAATGTAAATAGAAGAATACTGCATTAGCCTTCTTTATGGTTCATTATCCAAAGTCAACAATCAATCAACTTCAGTGCATCAACAACTCTGCAGGAACCAGACGTTCAGGGCAGGGTTCGATCCCCAGCTCCTGCAGCCACATGTCCGATGTGTCTTTGGGCAAGACACTTAACCCCAAGTTGCTCCCACTGCTGCATCAGCGATGTTTGGATATTTATGAATGGATTAGCTAATACTGATAGACTCTTTCCACAGCAGCCTCTACCATCAGTGTGTGAATGTGTAGGTGTGACCTGTGGAGTAAAGGTCGTCAGACGACTAGAAAAGCTCTTGCCAAGGTCAAGTCCATTTGCCATTCACATCAACACTCCATGTTTCCTGTAAATCTACTAATGTTTTTTGCCTTATCTTCAGCTTTAAGTGACTGAAAATGAACCAAATAAACAAATAGAGGGCACGAGACAAGCTTGAAAAGAAACAGGAAAAGACCAACGCTCTGTCTTCAGAAGAAATTTCTTGTTTTCCTGTCTTTTTTTTAAATAATCAAACTACCGTAATAATTATTAATTACTAATCCAGGTTACCTGGAATCATGGCCCCCTTATCCATATCTTCACAGTACCTAGATAATGTATTTGTCCTCTATATGACTGAATGATTTTATTTTGCATGACCTGATCTCCAACCAGCCCCTCTAACATTTCTCCTCCACCTTTTCTTCAAATTTCTGCAAACCACGCTCTGCATGTCGAGTCCATCTGCTGTCCTGGCACTTTTTTTAATTTTATTTTTAGCCGCTTGGGAAAAAAGGGGAAGAGAAACCTCTAACAGCAGCACGGAGGCGTTTAACAAATGAACCATGAAACTGCACAGCCTATTGATTTTACTTCCTTGACCCTATCTCCGGGCGAACAAAAAAATATTTACAAAAAACATATTCCGTCTGCATTTCATTACTTGGTCGTCATGGGGATGGGGAAATGACAGCATCCAATCAGCTGCAGGATTCCCCTTGGCCCCGCCCCTCCGCGCCGTCTATTTATATTATTGCGGCCACAGATTTTTGACAGTTACTGTAGGAAAAGATGCAGCGCTTCAACTGCAGCTCGACCTGAATGAAAGCAGCTTCAAGTCTCGAGCAGTCTTTTGTTTTATTTGTTATCTTTTTTCCTACCAGTCATTGTCAGGCTGCATACCTTCAGATTTTAATACTGCGCAAAGCCGTGTCTTATTTCATTTAAAGCTGAGCTAACATTCACAATGACAGAAATGAACAACATGCCGGACGGTGACACGGCGGGTAAGGATGCGGTGCCGGCGGAGGAGAAGCGGCCGGAGGAGGAGGAGGAGGAGGAGAGGAAAGAGAACGGGGACAGCAAAGTGAGTCCCCCGGAGAAACCCACGGCTCCTGCTGCCGCTGCACCGGAGGAGGTCGAGTTCGTGCACCCTGAAGGCGGCTGGGGGTGGGTGGTGATGCTGGCTGCCATGTGGTGCAATGGCTCGGTGTTTGGGATCCAGAACGCCTTCGGTATACTCTTTTTGTCCCTCCTCCGGGAGTTTGGCTCCGAGAAAGATCAAGACCTCCGCTTCAGGACAGGTGAGTGGGGGGATGGGGAGTCGGGGGGGGGGGGAGAGAGACCCCTACTTTAGCTTAAACGTTGGAATTTCACGTTTATAGCTTTAAAATAAAGCATGACACAGTTTTAAATATATACATCTGTTCAATTTGAATATCTTCCTCGGTCGTTTTACTTTATATTTTATAAATACGGTAAATTAACGTCTCAGTGAGAGCGGCTGTAACGGTTACTTTTCAAAAAAGACGTTAAGTCGTTGAGTCAATGCTAACGGTAACCGGTGTTTGTGACCTCTGACCTCTGCACCGGTCGACCCCTCCACTCACTCTCATCGTGTCTCTTTTTCTCTCTTCTTTTAAACAACATTATGGGTCGTTATGTTGTAACTGTTCATACTGGAGCCTCATTTAGCTTACATCACCTATAGTGAGTAATATGTAGTTTCCTGCATTAAAGAACTACAACTCTGAACACAAGCAGCTGTGGTTACATGCTGACACAACTGTGAAGATGTGGTAAGCTTCTGTAGGGGCAAGGTGCTACTAGGGTGGTGTAACATTTTGTTTTGGCCTTACATTGTTTTTATTTATCTGTGGTTGTGTTTTCTGTCATAAACAGAGTGGAACAAAAGTGAAAGTTTTCAGTTTGTAGTTCCTGCATGCTGTCTGCAAACAATAGGAGTCAGAGAAAACCTGTGCTACATTATGAACTCTCCCACCTTTTTTTGGGTTTACCCCCCCACATTTTCCTCTACTGACTGTCACCTCTGGAGGTCTGGAGGGATCATGTGTTCTGTTGTACCAGACAGATTTTGGATTTAAGGCTTAAAGCGATACTGATATGGCGGCCAGTGTAGTGAATTCAAGTTGGAGTGAGTGTACAGTAATGGCTCTCAACTGGTCTAGCCTGGATCTTAGACGGTACAAAACATGTGACAGAACCAGCGACTGTAAATATTAAAGGACAGAGCCTGAGTGACATCATCCATCTGTTCCTGCAGGGGACTTTGGAGTCCCATCCATGGTGGTCTCCATGCTGGAAATCCTTTCTCAGTCTAACTTTTAGTCAACCTAACAACAGACTGAGAGCTGGAGCTGAGGTGGGTTTTTTTAAAAACTCTTTTTACAAACCGTTACATTGCTTCCGCTTGTCGATCAGGTCAGCTAACCAGACCTATTTCTTTTTTTAACGAGGCTGTAAACAAGTAAATTTTTGCTTTAAAAAATTGGCTTTTTTGAATGGGTGTGTTTGTGACTTCCTGTGCTTCTTCAGCAAGCCTCAAGTGGACACTCGAGGAACTGCAGGATTTTGCACTTCAGCATCAGCTTAATCGTTCAACATCGGAGGTTGCTGCTTTGACAGAACAAAGTATCTAAACAAAAAAACAAGTTTAGACATCGCTTCATAGACTTTTTGACACATTCTTTTTCCAGGCACAGACTCTCGCGGCCAGCTAAAAAATTGTTTAACAACCAACTTTTGGGTCCCAACCCACCAGTTGAGAACCACTCACGTAGACCTTTTCTTATTAAGTTGCACATGAGTCTTAATGAAAGTAGTGGGGGTCTCAGAACAACACCACATGGGTGCAGGGTGGATAAATTCAGCTTTTGAGATAAGGAGCCTTTGAGGGTAAGGAGCTCGAGGTAGAGCTACTCATTGACACCAACAGGAACCAGCTGAGTTGGTTCAAGCATCTGATTAGCATTTCTCCTCAGCAGCTTCCACCGGAGATGTTCTCTGAGGAGAACCAGAGTAGACCCAGAGCTTTCTGGAGGGTTAATATAGCTCATATGGCCTAAGAGTCTCCATGATAAGACTAAGACAAGAGATGGATGGATCCTTTTGTAAATTGTCAACCATTCCTAGGGAACAGCCATACTGCTGTGCTATATGTGCTGCAGACAGAGAAGAGAAGACAAGCTACATGATGACAATGTTTAAACCAGCCCAAGCATTTTAATTAGACGTTCTATATAAGACGTTTTCATATGGGATTCATGCTGAAACAAATATTTGTGACAGGCCAATACTTACCAGATGCTATTGATGATATTTTCAAACGTAACTAGGTTGGCATGTGCAGCCGTTTTGTTTCATATACAAATTTCCAGAGGATTTCAGTTGAGCTGTTTCCTGTTTCTCACTTTCATAAAAAAGCGGTTTCTTGTCATGAGCAGGTTGTAGTAGATTGCAGATTGGCGAGGTACAGTCAGGGAACTTCCCCCCTGTGTGTGAAAGTGAGACAGAGAGATGATCTAACCCCATGAATAATGTCTCCATGTGGTTCTGCTGCGATTGTAACCACCTGTTGTTTGTGATGCTGTTTGGCAGATGAGTCTGTACGAGTTGAGCTGCATGTAGAACCCTTTTTTTTTGACTCCCTTAATTCAAACAGTTACCATTGTGTGTGGACTCAAAAGCTGCTTTAACAATGAGGGGATCCGTGTGTGACGTGGTAAAGGTTTAGTTTAACAGCTGCAATTTCTTCAGCTTCTTTACTGTCCTAGTTGTCTTCCTTAATGCTACCACCCAATACCCTTACCCACTGACCAGAGATCATCTGCAGTGTTGTCTTGATGAGTGCTGACTTCCCCCAAGTGAGGCTGACTACTACACAGCTGAAATGTGGGGGAGGGACATTCAAAGCTTTCTTTTTACAACTTTCAACGAGGGTGCAACTTCTATTTCTGTTTTCAAAAGACAACCGATAAAGGCATCCGTAAAGAAGCCACTTCTGTCTTCTGCAAGGCTCAACAACTGATTTTGTCTTTGGCTGTTTCTGGTTTCTAATTGACCTTTACCTTTACCTTACCATAAAAAGTAAATTACTGCAGGAATCCTTCCTGTTGTGTTGACTGTAGTACTCAGAATAAAACACTGAGCCTGTCAGATGGTGAAGACCAGCGTTAGTCTTGATTGCCTGTATTTAAATGAGGGAATACAAACAAGTAAAGGTTGTATTTATTGTTTTTTCCATTCGATAATCTCCAACAAAAGGAATATTTACATTACAAGGCATGCAGAGCAGTGGTATCCATACAACAGAACACACTGTGCCTGTGGAGTCGGTTCAGATTCAGCATGTTATGTAAGGAGTTAGGTCTCTGCAAACCTTTGAACGTGCATTCAGTCTCAACAGAGATGGTCTTGGCAGCTGCTCTGTTTTGGGTTTTACTGAAGTCTGAATTGGTCAGAACTTTTCATCGATGACCAGTATGTCCTGAGATCCTCTTACTGCTCACTTTGCTGTGTGTCAGATTGGCTTTTTGCCTCTCAGCTCTGTTTCCTCTCCTCTGATCGAATTTCTCAAAGAACACACATATTGAACTGAGGACTTTAGCTTTGTGTTGCTTCATTTTATGAGAAGGTGACATTCTTTGGAGTTGCTGGAGCCGGTAATGTTCTGGGTCCTAGCATGAGTTTTGTAAAGATAAATCAAGGAGCAGGCATGAACTGAAAGCTAATGTTCAGTTCTGGGCGAGAAGAAGTGTGAGGAGTAAGAAAATCTCCATACACTTCTGTATTATCGTCATTGTTTTCTAATCATAACCTTGGATTATTTGACCTCACTTTTCTGTTAGCATTACAAACAATTGATCTTTTTTTTTTTTTCTCCTATTACACTTTTCCTAAAATTAGATCAATGAATCTCAGTTTATTAAATCCTAACCATCATGACTGAACCAAAGTCTTAGATACACACAGCTCATACCTGCCCTATACTGAACCTGTTGACTCTCAGACCTCTTGTTGCCCCCAAAGAGCTGCTCTGGTCCGAGAGGGATCCTGTTTTCCACGTGCACATGCACATGCACGTTGGTGACCTGATATGCGTTTCCCTCTTGGTAAGGATTTTCATGAATTCATTCATCTTGATAATTTTGTGGATATATAATTTAAATCTGTCAACCATCTAAGGGTGATTCTTCTTCTAGGTCTGTGAAGCTGTTGTTTACATGTGTAAAGACGTCTTGGAGCAGCAGAGTTATATTTGGATTGGAGCCAAGTTTATGTTGTGAGCTGAAAGGGAAAGGTGATTCTCTGAGACTGAAATGTATATGTCTGACATTTACAAGTCAAGCTAATCATTTTTTCTAGCCTATTGGAAGTCTAACTAACGAATGGAAAGGAATTTGTAGGCTGTACCTTCTAACAGAATATATGCAGCACAAGATGAATACTTTGTCAACAATTTGTCAGCCATGTGTGTTCGTAACTGTTGTCTGACCCCGGCTGAATAAATTCTTAGATGATCCACAGTCTGTTTCATGATTACATCATTGAACATTTAATACAGAAACAACCCCCACATAACACTTCACTCTATTTGTGATAAACTATCAACTAGCGCTGTTATGTTCCTGCAAAGTTAGAGAAGAAGACTGCAAACTAGTAAACATGCATGCAAACACAGAAGGATTTGGTTACCGGTTCGAGCCCTGTGCTGACTTTTAAAACTCTACTTGTAATTTATTTTCTCATTAGTATGGTTGAGTTGTCTTCCCCCCTAACCTCTCACGGTGTGGGAACAGATTTTTCTGGTGCTCAAATCCAGTGTGAAGGCCGCATCATTTCCAGCTGTCGTCCTGCTTCAGTTTCTCCCACAGCCCTGCAGCATTTAGTGTAAGGACACCCAGGTTGAATGCCCAGGATTTGTTGTCCATGGGCTGGAGGATTGCTGTGTCTTGGACATTGAGTTTGTATGTTTCAAACACATCATAGCGTCTTTCAAATGTCTGTCAGGTTGTTTCTGTGTGACCTGTCAGCAGAAGATAAAAATCTTTCCTTTCTGTTGTGTGACATCATTACTTCGGTATGAACCCCTGCAACTTTTAGACATTTGGCTTTTCTCAGTTTTCTGCATGTGATAGGTCCAGACCATTGATGGACTTGTGACAATACCCCATAATGTAAAACAGAAGATAATACCAGCATCTCCGTTTTAAAATACACGTCTGCACAGGGAATAAGGAGACCTGACACTGAACACCAAGAGTTAAGATTTAAAGGCTTGTCC